CTCTCTCTCTCTCTCTCTCTCTCTCTCTCTCTCTCTCTCTCTCTCTCTCTCTCTCTCTCTGAGGCAGGGTTTCTCTGTGTAGCCCTGGCTGTCCTGGAGCTCACTCTACTGCAGACCAGGCTGGCCTCAAACTCATAGAGCTCCTCCTGCCTCTGCTTCCTTAGTGCTGAGATTAAAGGCCTGTGCCACCACCTCCCAGCTCATGTCTCTCTCTTTAAAAACAAAGTACAACAAAACACACATACACACATCTGATGTATTTAACACACACTCAGTGCCCACCCAGCAGAAAAGGTGCTGCCCAATATCAGAAAGCAGTATGAGGAGTAGGTAGGGTAAGGGATAGCCATCAGCGGAAAGATGAGAGGTGGCTGCCTAGCACCGTGGACATACAGACAGAGAACTGGACTTGAATCGCAACATCATCTTCCTCAGTGTGACTAGAAATCACAGTGCTGACTCCCTCGTGGGGACAGTAGGGGATGAAATATCACAACCAATGTGAAGGTCTTAGCAGTTCTGGGTCTGTGGTGAGGAAGAGCGTCATGGCAGGCAGGCATGATAGAAGAAAGCTGCTTATGTCGTAGCAGCTAGGAAGTGGAGAGAGAGGAAGAGTCCCAGGACAGAGCCACCCGGCAGGGCACATTCCCAGTGACCTACTTCCTCCAACTGGGCCCCACCACTTGAAGTTTCCACTACCTCCTGATATTGCCATCAGCTAGCAACCAAGCCTATGGCCTCGAGACCTTCCAGATCCAAATTATAGTAGGGCCACCAGTTAGAACTCTATATATTGTGGACAATGAACTTATCACCTATAGTTGTGATTTGTTCTATTTCAGGGAGAAAATATCAGACACGCAAAAAGACTGGAAATTCTTTGAGGTGAGTCCCTTGCTTTGGGGACTTTTCATTTGCTACGAAAACACATAGCAATGACCAGTAGCCATTCGGCAGGCACATCTTTTTAACAAATATCCTTTTTAGAAAGGATGATAACATATTGTTTGTGATTCCTTAGATTTTTGGCCTTGTTTTCCACCCATAAATGTGAGTACACGGGCAGTTCTGGACAACTTCCAGGGATCTCGAACAGCTGGGTCATCCGGGTTTGTGTCTACTCAATGATACAATGGGGACAGGGGGAGTTTTCATAGCACTTCCGGGGTTTGTGATTCTTCTGTTTTCTCTTTCAGTCCCTTTATACTTTCTGTACATACGTAGCCTGGATTGTCTTCCGACGTCAGTATTTGACAGAGATCGAGGAAGAAGTAGGAAGACTTTTTCGTACCAATATGTTCAACATCCCTCGAAGGAAGCGTGAGGATGAAGAATCAGGAGGAGAGAAGAAGCGCATGACATTGGTACAATTTCGGTATGACCTCTATTTTATTTTATTTCATTTTATTTTGAGACAGGGTTTCTCTGTGGAGCTTTGGAGCCTTTCCTAGAACTCACTCTGTAGCCCAGGCTAACCTCGAACTCACGGAGATCCGCCTGGCTCTGCCTCCCGAGTGCTGGGATTAAAGGCGTGCACCACCACCGCCGCCCGGCTTTTTTTTTTTTTTCTTTGAGAAACTGGATAGTATCTTAAGCATAGGAAACCTTAAAGTCTGCCCCACCATGACACACTTCCTCCAACAGGGCCACACCCATGCAAACAAAGCCACACCTCCTAATAGCTCCATTTCCTATGAGATTATGAGGGCCAGTTACTGTCAAGCTACCACTTTCCACTCCCTGGGCCCCATAAGCTTGTAACAATATCATAATGCAAAATTCATTTAGTCCAACTTCAAAAGTCCCCATAGTTGATCACAGTGTCAACAATGTTTTAAAGTCCAAAGTCTCTTCT